ATGAGACGACGAACAAACAAGGAAAGCTTTGGAGAGAAATTAAGAAGAGTTGCAGAGAGATGGGAAGAAAGTGAGAGTGGTGACGAATATATATCAGATTTTGTGGAAGGGGCTCATATTTTGTTGGAGAACGTAATAGCCGGAGACTATTACGTTTTCAAGCAGGGTACAAGAAGGAAGATGATCACGGGCGGGATTGGTACACATCAGCATCCAGCGTGTGAAAAAATGACACGCTGGCATAGGCTAAACGGAGATCGTGACGGTGATGACGTCATCTGTTAGATAATGATCGATTTGGGTAAATCGATACTTTTAGGGTGTAATTTGTCCCTGCTTTTTTTTGAGGGGTGGATCCGTCCCTACCCATATTTGTCAGGGGGTGATTTGAGGGTTCTGCCAATTTTAAAAACTTGATCCTCAGATTTTGATGGTATCAGATGTGAATTGGATAAGTTCCGAGCCTTGTTCATTTGTGGGACCCTTTCACGAGTGCACGGCGTCTGTCGCGCCTTAAGTCCCTTAAGTTTGGATATTTTGGCTACTAAGCCCAAAACAATATTTTTCTCACAATCAAGTCCTTAACTAAGTGCTAAATATCACAAAATTTTGGGGTATTACACTGTCCTATCCACATACGCTCGTCATTGTGACCACCTTTGTCAGGTCGTCACAAGAGCGGCAGCTCGGTAGAAATCGCAAGTTTTGAGGTCGCTTCATCTTAGCTCGTTACAAGAGTGGCAGCTCATGAAAGATCACAGATCAATAGATATCCAAGATCACTCTATTTAACCTCGTTGCACATACGAGCTAATAAAGTATAATAATAAAAAATCTCAGATTGTTCTGTGGTTGAGGTCGTCTCATCTCAGCTCGTCATTGTGATTGACTGACAGCATCACCTGGTCACTTTAGTACCTTTGGTAGTATTTAAGGTTCAAGTCGTCACACATTCTCTTGCACTTATGTTAACGTGGACGAGATCGCTGAAATAACGAATAACACCTTGAGTGCATGACTATTCACTAGGCGAGCTTACCTTTTGTGAGCCACTTCAGCTCGCTGATATAACAAGCCCACACTAGTGTGGTTACAGATATTAGCTTGCCTGTACTCTCTCAGGCTTATGAGGTCGTCGTACTTGTACAAACCTTGTCGGATCATCGGGAGTGCAGGTTGTAGAACTGCAATCTGATCGAACCTTCCCCTTAGGATATGTAACCGGCGCCACCTTTCAGATCGGCTGTTAACGAGGTCGCTCATGAGCTGCAAGAGCTGTCAATCCTATACACCAGCTCGAACGTTGGGCCAAGGGCACATTCGACCCAGTTCGTCAACCAAACTCCGAGGGGGGAGTAATGTTGGAATAGGCCCAACATTCAACTTGGGCTGTACATAATGGGCCTAGGCCAGTCCCCATTAGCCCAAAAGGATGGAGCACCGATACAGCAAGTACAAACATACTCAAGTGGACAGCGCCACGTTGGCCAATCAGATGCTTACATGTACCAATGCATGTCAGCACTTGGGGCTATAAATACCCCCCAGCTACCTCTAGTGAAGGTAATTAATCTCTACGCTTCTCTCGTTGCAATTACTCCTTGAGAGCATCTCTCTCTTGAACATCGAGTATTGCTGACTTGAGCGTCGGAGTGTTTTCCCCGAGGAAACATCCTCGGGATTTTCAAGTGTAGAAGCAACTAAGGACTTCAACAGTGTTGGATTACAAAGCTGCCCAAACAGAACCAAATCAAGGATTTTTTTTAGTTCAGAGACCAAATCAGGGGTTTATACAATAGTTGAGGGACCAAATTAGGGATTTAACCATTCAAAAATCATCTAAAAAACTGTGGAAATAGATTTTGGGTATGGATTGTTCTATCGAAGAAGGCCTTGGGTTTTATTGTTTGTTAAATTAATGGAAATCGTAGTTTCATGCCGTTGGCCTATGAGTTTAGCATGGGTATATTGAATTTTATGGTAGTTGTCCACTTCTTCTGTGGCGGGCCAAACAAGTGGGAGTTTGTACTTTGTTGGGAATTAGATTAATTCATCTAGTGGCTGGAAGGGAAACTTAGTGTAATGGGTTGGAAGTCAAAAAGTAAAAATGTTTTCATGGCTGATGTGTGGAATTTAATGAGTATCTTATTATATTGAAAGTTGTAAAAAAGGAAAGCATGCTTAATGGGTGGTGGAATGAAAAAGGATTTTTGGATTTATGTTTGTAATTAATTAGAGGCATGGAGTGTGTGGAATTTGGTTGAATTGAACAATTAATTGTTGTGAAAGGATGATACACCGATTGGATATATTGTATTTAAGCCCAAGTATTGGATTAGTTAAATAGTTAGATCATTAAAGTTCTTCGTTAAATATTTAAGATTACCTTCTTCTTCTTTTTTTTCCTCCTTTTCTATGCTATTATGATCATGTGAATGTGATTTAAGCTCAAATATGAAATTAATGAATTAGAATGCAGTATGACATGAAGGGTCGGGAAGCTTACCATTAGTCACATTTTGGAGTTGACTTTGGTTGAACAATTTGATTAAATAATTATTTGAGTTTAACTTCTTATTTTTGGATGGGATTTTTGGCTTGGTGAAGGAGGATTAATTCTTGTTAACCTATCATTTAATTGTTTGAGTAAAGAATAGATCAACTTTAAATGTTGACTAGGATATGTTTGTTGTATTAGGGTTTGAGTAATTTTCGGCTTCACATTTAGTTGGTGCTTGGTGAATAACTGAGGTAAGTGGGCATTACCCCACTAGAAATGTTTTAAAAATAAATTATTATTTTACTTGTCATTTGAGAAATAAATATGATTAAAAATATAAATTATTTCAATTATTTTAATTATTTTTCTTATAGTATTTTCCTTATTAAATGCATTTTTCTTAATAAATGTGGATAAAGCATATTGGTTTGTAAAATATTTGAGATGAGGAAATATGACAGCACTGTAATATAGATGCTTTGGAATTGAGAATTGATTTAATATTGAGGTAACTTGTTTTGCATTGGAATGGTTGAACAAACCTGACCTCAAGGGTTAAACCAATGGCAACTGCTGGACTCAGAATCAATTATAAATTATTGTATCATAATAGATTATCGAACAATAAACCATGTTGAACTATCGAACGATTCATTTTATTTGTCATATTAGACTATTGAATAACAAACTATTTTGGGTTACCAATTGGTTGATATTTGTGATACAGCCATGAGGGTTTGAAAGGTTATTTTGTTGATGGGTTCATTAATACCTATGTAATTCAGAATATTATTATTATTATTATTTATTGCTACTTCTTTTTTTATTAGAGATATTTATACTTTAACTTATTAGTTGGGTATGCTATCTATTGGGCATGTAGAGCTCATGCTGTCTTATTTAATTTTTTCTTTTTTCATATACTGATCATGAAGCATCGACGAGGCATAGTAAATAAAGAGCCACCTTCGAATTAGCTTTCACATTTAGCATGTCATGGATATTTGAATCAAAAGAGATTTTACATTTATTTTATTTAGACTTGAGATCCTTGTTACAGTTGGTTTTGAAATGATGGATTATTGCTAGTAATTTCTTAAAGTAAGGAATATTTTGTTTAAAACTACGTGGTTGAATTTTAGTAACAATCTTAGCCTTACATGCTTTTGGGGTCACTTCTAAAAGCACGTGGCATTGTTAT